GGGGGGGGTGGGTTGGCAGTGCTTTCTCCTCCCGGGCCTCAGGGTGTGGTAGGGCCCTGCCAGGGTGGGAGTGCTCTGTCAGGCTCCCTCCCCGGTACGGCCCGTGTTGGGTTAGGGTGGGGAACTTGCTCCTGGCGGCATCTGGTTCGTACCGCTCTCATGTTAAGTTTGGGCGGGGTGGGCGCTCCTCTCCTCAGGGGTGGCTCAGTTTGTGCCGCTTTGCTTTCCTGGCTCGGCATGGGGGGGGCGGGAATCCGTGGTGTGGTGACAACGCTCCTTCCTAGTGCTGTTTTAAAGCGACACGGGAATGCCCTTTTAAAATGCGGACAATAGATTTTATTTATTTATCTATTAGCACTTAAATGTTTGTAGACAACATGGAGGAATACACACATTTACTCCAATGTACATACCACTAAGTATATTGGGGTAGGTGTATGTGGCTTGCATAATTTTGCATTCTTTTCTGTGCTTAGATGTGCTATGCCAACGCTTGCAGGTATTCTTAATTTTGAATTAGTGAATAGTTATATTACTAATGCTTAATCCGGTGTCATTGTTACCAAGCTTAGTGTAAAAGCATTTATAGATCCCTCGTCTGTTGTAGAACCACTTCTGCACTTTCTTTACTGACTTTGATTTGCTTAAAAACAGTAAAATTAAGCTTTTATTCACTCAGCTCATTCACACAGTCTCTCATACCTGTGTTCTAAATCTTTGTTAAGTTCTGAAGTGGTTTTTTTTTTCACCTTTTGTTTATTGTTGACTTTCTTGTCTGTATTTGAGTTAGTTATGTAGCAAAACTTTTTGTAGAATTTTTGTCTTTAAAAGATCCACCAGTTTCTTAGCAGTGTACAAAAAGTTTGGGGAAAAAAATGATAATGCATGTATTTTACAGTGTTTTTTTGGCCATCACACTTGTACTTACTTTGCCTTGCGATTTATAGTAATCCTACTAAATCTTTCAATAAATCTGTATTTTGAATCCTACAACTGTATGTAGAAGGATATATGGCTTACATACAGCTAAGTTATAGCATGCCAATATTTAGGCTGTTGAGGTGAAAAGTAAAAGATAGATCTCGTGTTGGTACTCTCCTTGCTGTTTTCGGTCTCGTAGTTGGCTCTGTAGCCGTACCCAAATCCTATAGCAAGATCAGATAGCCCCATCTTCGGTGCCGAACATTTCTTTCAAAGCAGTTCCTTCAAACAGCATCAGAACTACCTTAGGAATGGATGCTGTCACCATATCATAGTTCTGTCTGTTTGTTTTAAATCAATCCCTTTAGTATTGGGAATGTGTTAAGTGAAAGAAATGTGGAAATAGGAATGTGGTTTTTTTTTTTTTAAATTATTATTTTAAGACTTCTCACAGTTCTGGTTTTAGTAAGCTAGTGTAGTTCCTTTAATGATAGCTTGTTTAAAGGAAGGCTGCTATCTTAAAAAACAAAACAAAAACCCAAACCAAAACCAAACAGCAGCATGATTTCTGTTGATCAGTGTTTCAGCCATGTCTGACAAAAGTGAACTGAAGGCGGAGTTGGAGCGCAAGAAGCAACGATTAGCTCAAATCAGAGAGGAGAAGAAAAGAAAGGAGGAAGAAAGAAAGAAAAAAGAAGTAAGAAATAATTTTCTCTTTGAAATTTGACTGTTTGCATGTGTAAGTTGCCCAGAATTTAAGGGTAGGATCACTTAGTCCTGTGCTACATGTTATTCAGGGAGTGTCTATTTAATGGTCGGTTGCTGATGCGAATGTAGCACTTTCGTTTTCTGATAAGAGCAAACACCTATTGTTTTCTTTAGAATTATCCATATGGTAAGCTGGATTTAAAAAAAAAAAAAAATCTTACACTTGCATAAAGTTTGGATTTCTAAAACTACTTGTGTGCATGGGACATCATTAATCAAATCACTGTAAAGTCTTGCACAAAAGCTCTGCTTAATGAGTTGTAATGGTGTTATATAGAGAACTCATTTCTGAAACGCAGTTCTGAGGATGTCCATATGAATTGTCTGACTGTCAGTATTATTATTGTCCAAACAATGTGCTACATTCTTCTACTCTTTGACTCATCCTTAGCCTGAATTTTAAAATTAGCAACACTCAGGATGTGTATACTACTTGTGTGTTAGACTTCGTTTGTTAAGTCTTCTGGATTTCTCTCTGCTGAAGTATGTGACAATCAGTGATTTATCACTATGTTTCTCCTGAATGCCAGTTATACCTCATAAATGAAACTTGCTGGAATGTTTTGGTGGTTTGGGATACTTTTTCAAGACTTCTCTGTGCTTTGGTTTATGATCTCTTAGGTTTTCTACATTAGCATATGCCTGAAGACTGGGCAGCTGCCAGCTACATGATTCGGACAAAAAGGAGAGGGAAATATCTCAAATTATGTTCTGATGATCTTGTAACAATGCATTGCCTGTATCTGAGATTTCACGTGTGATGCAATAGCTTATCAGTTGAGAACTTGCTCTAAAATTTGGGAATTGCTTTTTTAAAAGGAATTGTGTGGTAGATTAGAAGCATAATGTGCAGTCATGGGAGGAGCAATTAGTCTTTAATCATGGCGTAGGGATAGAATAGCTTGGTCTAGATTTTGCTGCTTCTATTAAAGACTTGTATTTGTATCATCAATTTATATTTATAAAAATATTCACTTGCCAATGGCTGAGCTGTGAACACCTTAAGCCGTGAATTATATTTCTGTAATTGAATGAGCAGTTAAATGAGTGTGGAAAGGCATGGAGTGTTCAGCGTCTTTCACAGTAGAGCTTGTGTTATTTCTAAATTATGAGGATGGGGGTGTAATTTTTATTCTTTTTTTTGCGTGAAATCTAGCAGATAATAACACAATTTAAAGAAAACTACTGCCCTGTAAACCTGAAGTTACTGCAAAGTGGTTTTTTTAAAAACTTCCTATTTTTTTTGTGAAACCTGAGGTTCAGAAGAAAGCTTTCTCACTAAACAGCTTGTTGATGTTTTTGTTTTAAAAAATAGTTTAAAATGTACACATAGACAATCATCACTTTTGCATCTTATACATATTTTCTTAATTGCTACAGACTTTAGCATGTGCTCTATCTAGCCAAGTGCCCTAATACTTTCTTGACCAAAGAGGGGTATCTCTTACCGTCATTCTAACCCTGTAGCGTTTTCTTTGACACACTTACTGTCATTTCAAAGTCGGAACAATATGACTGTCTTTAAAATACTTTTACACACAGGTATATGATATATTTTGTTTTTCAGTCTTTGCATTTTACAGTGCTTAGCATTAGCGTAAAAAAAGGTATTCTTGATCTTATGAAGTGTCAATCATTTTGTCAAATGAGAAGATGCTTTTTGCATGTTATATATGTCTTTTAAAGACAGTACCAAAGCTACAAAATTTTCTGATTCCTGTCTGCTGTTTACTTTATCTACAGAAAGGACCATCAGAATTACTAGAGTCAAATATCTAACCTGTAAGATGACAAGCTTCAGTAGCATTAAAAAAACCTATGACATCTCAAAAATAAATGAAACAGTTTTTAATACTTGTTAAATGCTATAACTTAATTACTGAATTATTTTTAGACTGATCAGAAGAAAGAAGTTCTTCCTGTACAAGAAGAATCTGATCTTGAAAAGAAGAGAAGAGAAGCTGAAGCATTACTTCAGAGCATGGGGTTAACACCTGAGTCTCCTGTTGGTAGGAATGTTAATATTAGTTTGAGATAAATGTTTGGGGTTTTTTTGTTTGGGGTTTTTTTTTGGGGGGGGGTGGTTTTGTTTTTTGGTTTTTTTTTGTTGATGGTGGTGGTTGGTTTGTTTGTTAGGATTGTGGTATTTATATAACTAGCATGAAAAATCTCTGGCCACTATTTTTGGGGTATACATGTCTGGTTTTTTGTACTATTTTGTCCTTCATGATCTCTGTTATAAATGTCAAGTGATGTGCTTCAGTACACATTACTAGTACTATTTTGTAAAAGGTATGTTTTACACTTAGTGGATTATTTGGAGTCTTTTAGGTAAAATATATAAATATCATGTATTTGTTGGTTTTTTTTTCCCCCCTATTTTCCCTGCACGTTATTCTTCTCTACTTTTTTCCTTTCTCTTAATGCCAGATTTTAATTCTGATATTTTTGTGCAGAGTTGGCTTGTCTCCTTTCTGCATCTTTTACACCCTAATTTTCCTTATTTCAAATACCCGACTGACTTTGGAGTAATAGCAAGGCTAAGTATAAAATTTAACTATCAAGGGTGATGATTCATATCTGTGCCACTCTTGGATGGGTTAGCCTATTGGTTGTTGCTTTTTGCCTTTACGTAGCTACATCTCTCTGGAAGAAGAAAGCGAAAAGTGTGATAATTCAACTCCCCTTTTTGTCTCTAGCTCTGAAATCTAAAGGATTTAAAACTTATTTTTCAGTTTGGCTCAATGATGAGGGTCTATTTCAACTGGGTTTGCAAATAAAAAAATAATTTTTATGGATATAGTGTATCTGTGACTATATCTTCATAATTGCTCTTGCATAGTCCTCAAGTGTTCAAAAGTGAATGCGGAATAAACACCATTTATAAGCTGCTCCCATTCCAACAGCCTCAGCAGTCATTTTTAGTAGCTTGAACTCTTCTCACAGTTTAGAGGCTGCATTTGGGCTATGTTAGTACTAGCGTACAGCGTTATAAGTAATCTGTTCTTACCTACTGGAGATTTTGTTTGGCATACTAATAGTTGAACACTTTCTTGTGTGAGGTTTTGCTAAGACAGCTGATGAGACTCTTGCAGAAATGCATATGGTTGTTGTTTTTTTAAATCTGTGGGAGAATCTAAAAACCACAGGATAGTTAGTCCTCAAAGCAAGTCATTGCATAGACTTAGAGTAGCTGTTTGTGAAAAGCTCTTTGAGGTGCTGGCGTGTAAGACCCGGGCACAACCCTGCGAGTGTTGTGTTTAATTCTATTAAGCATCTACTTAACCACACCCTTCAACGTACACAGATTCTCAGGGAATTCATTCTGTTCCCTTTGAAAATACCCAGATCTGATCTGGATCCTAAGTCAAGCTGAAATGTCCTACTCGCTACCTCTCAGTAGCATGCCTGAGGCACAGGCTCGTGTCTGCTGACTGGACACTGGCAAAGTATGATAGTACAGTGATCTGTACTAGCCTGAACTGAAGCTAACTCACAGCTGACCAGCTTGGTGTGCAGATAGCTTAAACTCGCATTGTTGGTATAGGTGGATAGCTTGAGATTAGATTCCTTCATAAAAATTCCTAAGGCAATTACTATTTTCTAATACAGTCCTGTTAACTGCCAGAGAGAGGTAGCTCCGTTATGGGAGAAGGGACCTTAATAATCTAAGTATGCTTTTGATATCTACCATACTTCTTATATAAGAAGCCATAACTTAGTGAACCAAAATAACTTTCAAGAAGGTGTTATAGTTTCATCCTCTGTTGGGGTAGGTGGAATTTTACTTGGTTTTTTCATAAGACTGTTGGTCTCTAAATAGGTTTCACATCACTAATGGGAAGACTTTCTTGAAAACAGTGTGCCCCACAAGAGGGCACTGTAGCATCAAAACTAAGCTACTGAATTCTTTTGGCCATGCTTACATGCTAGATAGAGCTGACTGACTTTGTAAATGGTGACAAGATATGTTTCTAATGTCACCTCTTCAGTTAAGAAAGGGTGACATTAAAATGTCATCGTTTCTGATAACGCTCAAAAATAATGTAGGAATATAAAGGCCTATGGGCATTTCCTTTAGTATAAGTTATTCAGTAGATGGCGATGATGAGTTGGAAGAATATATATACACTCATATATACACCTATATTTATATAGATATATGTATAAAGTGTAAGTGTGTGTATGTGTGAATTTATGAATTATAACTCTGGACCAATATAAAAGTCTCTCTTGTAGGAGGAATGAATTTTTAATAAATTGAAGTATTCACTGGGATTTTGTAAATTTAGGGTAGAATTTTTGTCAACCAGAGTCATGTGTGTCTTGGGATGGGATGGAAACATTCTTCAGAATTCACAGTATACTTGTGATTTCAGGAAATTCTCTAGAAATGTTGCAGATCTAAATTCAGAATTCTCCCTTGCCTCACCCCTGACAGAGTGGATACCAATTTATATACGTAATTTGTGTTCAGATGGTTAAAGGTTCTTTTTAAGGGTTGCTAAAGAGTGAATGTGTTCTATGAATGTTTTTCATGTTGCTGAAAAATGAAGCATGTAAGGACCTTCAACACACACCCTGATTCTTAAGCATAAACCTAAGTTTCATTAAATAATGAGTTTCACTATTTCTAAGAAGAAAAGTTGAAAGAAATATCAAAATAACTTTGTGTTTGTATCAGATTGCATGATATCATTCCCTATTATATATCAGTTCCAAAAAACATGTTGCTTTTTAAACGGTAATTGCAATCTTCATCTACATGCTGAAAATGAACTGACTTTTAAGAAAAAGTTTCAATATAACAGTACTGGACTATTTGTCAAGTAAAAAGAAAAACACAAAAATCCCCCAAAACCCAACATCAGAAACTTTGTTGTAATGCACAGGGTTTACATTGATTTGATTCAAACTAGAACAAAACCAGCAGTATGCTGTATGACAAAGCCACTTTTTTTGGTCCAAGCTTCGGTGATTATATATTTTGAAAGAAAATTACCAGTTAAATATATTCAATGTCTAATTTTTAAGAAAACCTGATGTCAAAGCTATATTAACAACTATCTTCCTTTTACGTTTAAGCAACATGATTTAGTGGAAATTACCCTTTGAAAATTGATGCCATCATTTGTCAGAAGTTCAGTTTAAAAATATATTTTCAATTCATTTTTTCCTAAATGTCTTTCCCTCCATGTCTTTTTGTACGCACCAGATGCGTAAATGCCAAACAATTGCATGAAAATCCATCATGAATTGTTAACATTGTCTTTTCCCCTCTCTTTCTACTGTTCATTTTCATCCATGTATTTTTTGTTTGCCATCACTTTTTTTTTTAATACTTCATGTTAAATTAATTTGAAAACATCCTAAGCTGTGCAACCTCTGCGAGTAGTAACAGCGGATACCTGTCTGTTTCACTATTTAGTCCCTCCTCCTACCTCTCCGTCTTCCAAATCTGTGAGTACGCCAAGTGAGGCTGGAAGCCAGGACTCTGGTGATGGCGCTGTTGGATCTAGGTATGTCACTTTCCTTGTCATATTCCTTCGCTTAATACTCATATTCTGAATAATTAAGCTTTAGAAGAAATCAAGGTTAATTACTTGATTATAATATAATAATATGAGGTTACAGTGTTACTGAGTCTGTGAACAGTGACTGTTTTACAGAAGTACTTTACTTCAAGATTTGAAATGCAACTACACTTACTAATTTGAAATTGCCAACATTAACATGGAGTTGTTTAAATTTGTAAGTTTAAAGTAAAATGAATCTGAATGTCTTGCAGTAATGTTGTTGTAAACATGAATGTCTCAGGACAATAGAAAACTGGAAAAGTCCAACTTCTGGGCTCTTCCCAGCTTTTTCTAAAGGAGGGTGTGTATGAATGATAGGCTATTTCCTTTTTCCCTCTATTCTGGTTGGTCTAATAAAAGATACTGTCTACCAACTTTGCCTTGCTTCTGATTTTAATTTTTTTTTCTTACTCAGAACAGTATTTCTCGTTATTTCACCTTGCAGCCATCCCTGTAACACAGCTATACTACTCACAATCTCTCTCATTTGGCCAAAACATAGCACCATGTTAGTATGGCCACAGTTTTTTCCAGTTCCAGTACTTGCTTCATCTATTTGACCATTTTTTTGTGCATGACAGTTTGAGAAATGCTGCTCTAAAGAGAGTCAGATAAATATTTCTGTTAAACTAGGAATTCAAAGTGGCGATATATGGGTGATAAAGTGGGAAACACTACTTCCAAAGGGTATTTCTACTGTTTCCCTTGCACAGTCTGCGAATAAGAGCAGTATTTGCCTATTAATACTGATAACATATTTTCTCAACAAATTAAGTTCATGTACTTAAAAATTACTGAGTATGCATTGTGGATAAAAGTTTAGTTAAAGCACAGTTACTAAAGCAGTTATCATCAGCTACTTTTGTGCTTATATGAGTATTAGTTTTGGAGAAAGAGTGAATACTTACACTGCTTTGAAACGTTTTTTAAAAAGACTGCAGTAACGTCTTGTATGTGTGTGGATTATACATGCATGACTATATACAGTCTTAATCTGAAAATAGTCAAGATTTTAATGACCTGAACAAAGGTTACAAGGTGCTTATTTCTAAGCAGCAGCCATTAAGTTAAAACAGAGAATACATCAGGCAGCAGATATGAACCCACTCTTGGGTTTTGGTTTTTTTAACAGTGCCCAGGTGTGATCTTGTGTGTAGCTTATTCACTATGCAATTGAAGTTCACCTGTCATGTTAATAAAGAACCAGTATAATTTTTCCTTAACTGAGTAATAAGCAAATTTTTAATGATTTGAAATCTTTGATTATTGCTTATTGAATTGTCATTTTACATTTAAATTTACTGTCCAAAAGAAAAAACCAAGAATTATTTGATGATGACTTGTTTTAAAAAACCCAAGAATTTCTTTCCATTCATACATAATTTAAATTCAATATGAAACAATACGTGTAGGCCACATATCTGTAATTGAACGCCATATTGTGTACTGAGTTTATCTCCATCTCATAAGCATACGGTGCTCTCTGATTGTGTGTTCCTCAGACATATTAACATAATGTTGTATGCGTACATTTTCTTATGAAGCCTTGAGAAAACTCGTATCCTAAGCTTCTATAACTTCACGCATTTGCAAACTTTAAAACTAAATCTGTCTCTTGACAATTTCCCAGACGTGGAAGCATAAAAAGATTGTGGTCTTGAAGGTGTGGAGGTATGAATGTATAGCTAAATTGAAGGCTATATAGAGTCACTGTTAGAGTCCTCTTGCTTATTCTCTGACCACCGGATAACATTCTTCCTCTCCCCTAGCAAACAGATGTCTATATCCTAGTCTACTAGTACAAGTTTGTACAGCATTCCTAATGTACACATACACTTGAACCTGAAAGTTAACGGGAAAAGTTGGACTGTGCGATATCCCTTAGCGTTTTACCTGGCATTTCACAGGTGACTTTCATATCAATATGAGATATGTTAGAAAGCCCAAGTTGTTCCACTATGCTTGACAATCTTAAAAAAAACCCTTTCATATTAGTGTATTATTTCAGTTCTTTTTTTGTGGTCTGTGGCCATTTGTTCTCTGGGCATGCTGCAACTATATTTTTACAAAGATGATCTCCTTTGTTAGTTTAGTCTTTTCTCCTCTATGATGCTGAATCTTGCCAGTAACTTTACTTATTTAGTAATTAGTAGAGCAGTGTTCAGGCTGCGTTCCTGCTATTACTTCCATCCGTCTTGCTTTATTTTCATCAGTAAAGAGTTTTGGTTCCCAGTTTGATACTGTTCTCTCTCTCTCTTTCCCGAGTTAAGTATATAAATTCAAGACTGGAAATTAATACAGTTGATTTACTTTTAGGTTAGGTGGATGCTTCATAGAATTAGTTTAAATGCAGAAAATACTTTTTAGAGGTATAGGAAGCATTAGGAATATGCCTGGATACAGAGCAGTTTGGGCATATGTGGAAGAATAGGAACTTCTGTTCACTGAAGCTTGTAATGTTACCTTTATTTAAAAAAAAAAAAAAATCTGAGGAAGACTTAACTGTATATCCTGTACTGCTTGTTGACTTGAACTATTTTAAAAGGCAGACTATCCCTGGTACCACTGAAGCAACTGTTGAAAGTCAAAAAAATGCTTTGAAAGCAGGAAAGAAACCTCAGTAAGGGCTAGGTCTTAAGCAGGCACAAAAGTTGGAGCCTTTTAAATTCATAGCCCTTTCCCCAAGTTGGTCTCAAGTGGGACTGAAAAAAGTTGAGAAACTGTTTGACAAGTATTGTGGTAGTGCAGCATTTGGATCTGTAGATAAGTCATCCTTTGCAGAAGCAACATGAAGGTTGGGGCGGGGGTGGTGGTTTGGTTTTGCTTTCTTTTCTTTTTTTTTTTTTAAATGCATGATTGAACAATATATGAGCAATATCCAGCTTGAAGTCTCAGGCACCAAATTAAACTCCAAGGTTAAATCTATTCGGTCAAGAAAAATAGCAGAGACCTGAAGAATAAGTATACTCAAAATAATTAGCTTTATGGTAAAATGGTGTATTTTCTGATGCACAAAAGATATGGAAGGGTTTTAGAGTTTGAGATATTAAGCTATTGCTGTGGATGCAATAGCAGTTATGTAGAATGATTTGCTAAATATGAAGACAGTGGACTTGTAATTCTTAATTAAACTAGAGTTAATTATTCTTCTAATGCATACTTTCTACAAGAACAAGGTAGTGCATGGCACACCCATATTCGAGGTTTTTTTATGGCATTGCCTGTACTTTTTTGAGATTGTCTTTACCTTTAGGAGTTCTGCACCTGGTTTATAAGAACATTACCTTCTATGGGATGGAAATGGAAAATTACTTTTTATTGACTTAGCATAGTAAAATATTACATATTCTTTATCTTTTTATTTGTTATAAAATATTATTTAAAAAAATATAATAGCATCTAAGAACTCCAGAAAAACCATGCATGTTCGTCTGTTAATCTCTCTCTTATAAGCTTGTTTTTAAAATTCTGCCTAAGCCTGATAGCAGACAGTAGACTAAATGAAAATTTGTGGAGAAGGGATGAAGGCTAAAAATGAAAGGAGAGGGATGATTTATTTCCCCCTTCGTATTTCTTCTGATACAAAAGTGACTTGAAATGGATCTATTCTGTTCATTATTCCACATGACTTTGAAATGTGTTATTAATATAAAGCCCACTATTTCGAAGAGATTTAAATATCTTAAATGGAGTTGGCTCTAAATCAGATGACACTTATAAGCCCAAGGCAGTGCTTAACCCATAATTACTGCAATGTCACATCTTGGAAACTCTAGTAGTTCTCTATCCCAGTGGAAATGCATTTTTGCCCCTTTACCAAAAGGCTTATGTGTTGACTCATTTCCTTTACCAATATGACAGTTTCCTCCACATATTTACTGCTCTGGGCAAGACTGCATTACGTTAACAAATCTGTCTTAATATGACATGAACAAATCTGAACAGATTTAAAAAGGAATTTGAAGTTTTTAATTGTTCTTGTCAGTATTTAAAATATTTTCATTTGCCTCTCATAAAGGCTATGTTTTTTTGCAGATCTTTAACTTTCAATCTTTAAAATAATTTAATTCTTTTCTAATAGCTCTGAATTCTGTGTTTGCTTTTTAACTTTTGTATTTACTGCATGTATTATTGCCCTGAATGGTTGCTGAATTTCCCTTAACTGATGTTACATTGCTTTGTTTCTTGTGAACAATGAAATAACTGTAAGCTTACTGTAACTCTAGCATTTCATAGTGTGTATTTGCTTCACTAATCTCTGACCTTTTTTGCTAATGCTGCATGATTGTTCAACCTGGGGTATCAGGACGCTGCATTGGGATACTGATCCATCAGTTCTTCAGCTCCACTCTGATTCCGATCTGGGGTATTGCATAGATTTCTTATATTCCCTCTTTCATGTACTTATGGATAATAAGTATAAGAGTTTATTTTTTCTTTAAGACTTCAAGTTGTTGCTAAGAGACTGTTTTGTGAGTAGCAGAAATTCACTATCCCTAGACTTAGTGCAGTTTGCTTGCAATAGGAAATTTTTATGTTATTTAATATACATAAGATGCTTATTTCTAAGATCAAAACTTGCTTATTAATGTTTTTCTTTGAGTCTTTCTTTGGCAAAATGTAAACTTTAAAAAGTCATTTCTTTAAAACAAAAAACTTAGAATAACTGTATTTAAAAACAGTGACTCCCATCTTTTCTTATAAATATGTTTATAAAAGCTGTAGCTCATTATAAGCACTTATTAAAACCCATGTCGTGCTGTAAGAATTATGATTCTACCCACCAAAACCTTTCAAAAGGGATTACTCTTTTTCTCTTTTGCTTTTATCTTAGGAGAAGGGTGGATAATGAGAAACTAAATTTGATATAGGTAAATTGTTGTTGGATCATTACAGTATTACTACAATACATACTGAAACTAGCTTTTATAGGAAGTTACAATGACTGAATTAATGTTATGTGGTTTTTGGAAGTACATTATGCATTGTAGTTTGATACTAGCTACATCTGCGTTTATAGGATCTTCCATAAGCTAAAGTCAGAAAGCTTAGAAGTTTTCAGTTTTGTATTCTGCAGTAATGTATTATGGATAAATCACTTGTCAGTGTGTGAGTTTCAGATTAGTCTTGCAGTTCTGCATTCTAAATAGTACCTTAGAGGTAGACAAAAAAGGGCAGCAAAGTTAAAAGGACTACAAAATGCTTTTTCCTTCAGAATAACTAAGCTGGTGTTTAAGCTTTAAAATCCTAGAACCATTGCTGTACAAACATGACTTGTGAGCAGATCTGTTCCACTGAAAATAGGGTTATGTCATATATGTAGCAGTACCCTAGTCAACCACAAAGAGCAAAACTTTAAAATTATATCCTATAATCCAGATATTTATATATATATTTGCATACCTTTCTTTTTCTCGCAGATTTATAAATAGCTGCTGATTTCAAATAATAAAATATTAGTCATAATCATGTGACTTCTTCAGAGTTAAGTTTCCACTGGATTTAAGTTTGACTAAGCTATGCTGTGACATGGTGACTTGGGTATTATTCTAGGCAAAATGTGAAGTAATTCATAAAGTTGAATAGTTTTTCTGATTTCTCTATTAATTTTATTTAGACGTGGACCTGTTAAACTTGGAATGGCCAAAATTACACAAGTTGACTTTCCTCCTCGAGAAATTGTTACATATACAAAGGAGACGCAAACACCTGTTATGACTCAGCCAAAGGAAGGTGAATGGTTACCTTAGTAATAAGTTATTTTTCTTTTTTTTTAATTATAATAATGATGACTGACTGAATTAGAACCAGCACTTGTGATCTTGAAACTTAAGTTAGAAAGAAGGTTGATATGTGAGATAATTGATATAAATTCAATTATTAAATTCATACAGGTCTTGCTTAAGAGTGTTACTGTCATTTTGCATATTGTTTAACATTACTTTTATTACTAATACATGGTATTTTCTCACTCCTAGTAAATGTTCAGATTAGACACTGAATTGCTTAATTAGCTGACAACTGATAAATAAAAGTGGGATATATCTTGCATTTATGATACTTAAGAATCCACACACAACTTGAAGGCTGTGTATCCTTACAACAAACTTAGTAATTAAACATCCCCACCCCCCCACTCTTCAGGAATTTGAATTTTTATACCTGGAGCTTATACATTGAGATTTAAAAGAAGGAACTAATTTCTTTATTAACCCATGCAGTTTCTGTTCTCAGCAATTGAACATATGCTTTCCTTCTGTCATGATTTGTTTGCTTTTCAAAAAAGAAAATTTTCCAAAGAAAACATAGTTGGCTAATAAATTTGCTTTCCATGTTGAAACACTTGAATTTAGCTGCAGATGAAAATACTAATCTTGACCTAGTTTGTATGTAGTTCTACAACAAAATTTCATAGTTGTTTAATATGACTAACTTTGAGTATGTCTTTGCTAGCAATTTTAGGACCTAATTCTACATTCATAATTTTGCATTTTCCTGCTCTTTGATATGTGAACTTTGGGGCGTTTATGCAAGGAGATAAAAGCACTTTTTAAAACATTAAGAGAATACTCAACTGAAATCTTATGCTGGTGTTTCCAGAAACTGTATAATATACCTGAAAGCGTAATACAGATGATCTAGAGTGTGAAGTATAAAACAAGTGATGCAGAATTGTTGTTGTTGCTCCAGTCTACATCAATATGCCACACTTGTCTGGAGTGTGTCTTGAAGTCACTTTGGCAGGTTTAACTAGATGCAAATGACACTGTGAATGAGATTAAGTGAGGGGGAAAGGGGAGGGAAGAGAAAGGAAGTAAATTGCAACAATATGTTTTGTTGAGAAGTTTCTTCCCTTCTTATCTCTGGGTATTCAGTATAAAAGATTGGTGTGTCTTCAGAACAAAAACCAGATCTTTCAAACTTAATTATTCAGTGAGCCAGAATAACAGAGGATATGCTTCTCCTCTAACTGCGTTTCTTTTCCATTCTTCATTTTATCTGTATCCCTGCACAGATAGGCCTTTTGGGTTTTCCTGCTTTCATTTCTCCCATGCCCTTACCTTTTCCTTTCTTTAATCCCTCAGGTTTTTTTCCTCCCTTCTGTCAGATTCATGGAATCTGAAGACTTAGTTCATAGTCTGTGTGCTTGAAGAGTTTTACTGCTGCTGCCTGCTGTCAGTAGAAATTGCCTGGGATTGTATGATCTTATTTTTACACTCAGTAGATAGGCTGTAGTTGAGGTTTACTGTAGTGGAGCTGGAAAGATGGTCATCTGTATTTCTGCATTTACCAGAAAGCTCTCTCAATACAGATGTTGTCTCCTGATCCATTCCACCTTAAAAATAATACTGTTTTCTTGAGGGCCATCATCCTTATTTTATATATGTGTACTTCACAAAAGTCACTTACAGATGCTTTTTCATCATTTCGGTGTTGAGGATCTTTTTAAGGTCTGTCTTAAGACTGCCTAAATACATTCATAATTAAGCTGTATGTTTGCAATTTATGATGGCATCTGAAATAGGACATGGGTTTAAAAAAAAAATCATGCTGCCTCCAAAAAAAGAGTCAGTAGGTGAGAGATTGATTATGGGAAGAAAATGTTGAAGACTTTAAGACAATGGACAAGCAATATGCTGAATTTTCAGAGTGCAATTAGGTACACTCTATCTAATTTTAATTTATCTCATTGATTCTTGTTTCTTCTCACAATCTGAGGGGCCTCTTTATTTTCTTGAGTATACTGTAAACTAAAGATAATCTTACAAAGTACACTTGAAAGTTGAGCTTGCAACTGAATTTACACATACAAGTAACCTTCAGTAGCTCCCTTGTACAGCAACAAGTTGCATCTCAGCTAGGTTAGCTCCAATGTTCACACTTTCTTATAAAAGGAAGTGGACTGGACCTTTCTTAGAGATTTTAAAATGTTGTTGGAGCTGTGCTTTTGAACAAAGGAAAATAGAAGCAGGTTTATTAGATATGCTGTGCAGTCATTCTGCAGGTTTAGGTCCACTTGTGCTGTAGGTTGAATTGTGCTAACAGATTTTGGGGAAAAAAAACCCCAACCAACCAAACAAACAAAAAACCCCCTAAAAAAACAGTTCCTCTTCTGTGTGCCACAATGGTTATGTAGTTATATTGTAACCTGAATTGGGAAACATTCAAGCTACAATTAATCTGTCTGGTGGGACAGATAGTTTAACACCAGTCTTCCCCTACTTCCTAAAACAGTTCCTAATTGTCATGGAAATATTTATGGCAACACAAACAAAATGACAGTTACATAGGGGAGATTTCATGTCCTCAACTTAAAGTTGGCCTTTGGAGATGCCTGTTTTAGATTCAGTGTAACAAACAGTTAAATTTAAATAACGAGTACCTTTCACCTGAACAGTTCTGGTTTTAAAATGCAAAGGTCACTCATCTCAGAAGTTGATAGAAAAGACTGCATTTAGTAGTTGAGAAATCCAAAACTGGAAAATTCCGTAGTTAGAGAAGGGAGGTAGACTAAGTTTGTATGTTCATGTTTCTGTATAGTGCAGACATGTTGCACCATCCTAGATAATATTCAAATATGAAGTAACTCACCCCCACTGTCTTGCAGATACGAGGCTTCTTAGCTGAAACTGTTTTGAGCCAGTGATCCTCTCCATTTGTAATGAAAGAATGGCCAGTTTGCATGCAGCCCTAGATGCTAGAACTAGAATGTGACCTCAGTGCTAGTGGCACTATAGACTCTTTATGCTAAGACAAAAAAGTATCACTGCTGGAATTACGACTTTTCCACATTTCTTCACCCCCACCCCTTTGAAGTGTTATATCCAAAATAGTAGATAGCCTTGTCTCTTATACAATGCCCTGCTCTTAATTTTGAAATGTGACAGCTTCCTTAGGAGGTGGAGGCGTTCAGCGTGCTAACAATTCTCACAATTTCCATTATTTTATTGCAGTACTAATATGTTGATTTATTATGACCTCGAAGTATTTGAGAAACTGCCTGTCTTGGGAAGATTGATTCTTTTTATAATACTGTAAAACAATAAAATCAGGATCTCTCCTAGAAATCGGTTTCGCTCTGTGATTAGAGATCCAGTCATCTTTAGAGTGCTAAGTATTTTGCAGCAGGAAGTCATTCACTGTATTCTGAATATTAAATTTCCCCATTAATTGAAATTAATAAACATGTTTCACAGTTCTTATAGGAAGATGCCCACATCCAAAGTAGAATTAGAAGGTAAATCCGCAATATTTGTTTTATGGGCTCTTTGTATGATGGGTGTAACCCACAGCTGCTTTTTCCTCAAGGTCCCATGTATACAAGTAAGTGACTAAGGATATAGAAGGAGAGAAAAACAGTAAGAAATAGTGTCAGGGGTGGTGGTCTTGGTGCTTTCAAACTTCTTGCTTTGATGAAAATACTGACGCGTGTCTGTCTTCAGTACTTCCCCCCCCAACTTCTGGGTTTTTTTCTCCAGAATTTTCAATAGCCTTAGTCTTCTAACCCTACTGTTTCTGTAGCAGCTGTATTTATTATGTAAAAGAAATGAAGTGAAATCATGAAATGGTTCATTGTTCTGAGGAATTCAGCAGAGAAAATACGCTGCCTTCCCTCCCCCCGCCCCCCCGCCTTGTTCTCTTGGCACGTCCTGTTTCTGGTTTTGGGTTTTTGTCATTCTGTGATACAGTAATGATGGCCATCTTTTTTGTTCAGGGACCACATAAATTTATTTTGGCTTGATAAAATTGTTGCGCCATACTTGGTCTGTTGTCCCTTATTTCATAACTAATAAGCCTAAGTGTCTACGTCTCTATGCCATTATTACACTTTAATAACTTTTGTCACCATCATAACATGAACATCCTGTGTTTAGGCTGCTCCATTCCCCAGCATCCTTGTTCTGCCATCCCCTTTTCTACTATCTAAATCCATTTCTCACTTCCCATGATGCTGTGTATAACACTGCTGCCTGCTTCCCTCATCGTCCAATTTTGCTGGACATGGTTTTTAGTTAGTGTGGTCAACTGGTTATTAGGGCTGTTATTTAGCCTTTATTTGGCATGTTCTATCAGGCAGCAGATTTTCAGATCTACTCTCTGAAAATACATTTGAAATTGTGTTCCCTTCATACACTCATTTCTTTCTAGCAGGCAGCAGAAGCAGTTTCAGCAACAGAGATGCAATTCAGATGTGAACTCTGGTTTATGTCTTAATGTTCTGCAGGCTCCATGTTGGCCACCATGCAGAGTACTGTAATCATTAGTGCTAATTTTTTTTTCTTACCTGTACTTCTTGCTACACTGCTCTCTACTATACTGTTTGATCTCTTCCTTTGTGATTTGCTAATGTATTGTTCAAATTGGCACGGAAAGAAATTCATCACCAGTATGCCCAATAAAGATGTGTTATGAGTCCTTGAAGTAGTTAATCCAAAGAAAGGTAGGCATATAGGGGAATATGATTCTGCTCAGCTGTCACAATTAAGGCTTTTCCTGGGCTAATGGGATACTTGTTTAGTGCTGCTGTACAATATTGTGCATGTGCAATCACAACTAACTGCAGACAGTATTATTGCATTAGTTCCGCTCTTTGAGGAATTATTGTCTGGTAAAGTCTCCAAGACACAGAATGAAAATATTAAGCATTTTTGTCATTTTAATTCTGACTTAAGCTGAGTGATAACAATTTGGTGTATAGGATTTGCTTCTTGAATGCTGTTACAGTGAATGTAGCATTTTTACACTTTAATATTTTAAAAAGAAATAATGGACCCTTATATATTCATGTATTATCCTGTACATGTACAGTGAAATATAGATGGGAAAACTTGATATGAAGACATTCGGCTTAACAAAAGCCACCCATTTCACAGATGATTTAACTTTGATTAACCTACTCTGCAGCAACAGATTACTCAGACAACTGGAACTTCAGTCTACAGTGTTATTGCTAGGTGCAGCCTAATTTACAGCACTACTTTTCTTTCTGTCTTGCCAAAACACATCACAATTTTGATGTTAACTCAAAGTAAAAATTCAGTGGTTCATTAAACCTGTTTTTAGCATTCATTGACCAGAAATTTGTCGCTATTAAAGTAGCTGCTATTTTTATGCAATCTTTACTGCTCAGTTTGTAACCTTAGATACCCTGTCTGCCTGTTAGAAATAACATGGAGTTAATCCCTTAGCATATTATAATGAATATTCATCAATATATTGATGTGACATAGAGTCCCATTTCCTGTATTCATGGCTCTATGACTTTTCTAAGTCTTAGCAGCCTTTTTTTAAATGTGAAATTGTATTTGGTACACTGACAATTGAAGTGGCATAAAACAATAACAGCCAATAATGAATAAGGAGGGTGAGGTTAGACAGTGCCTTTAAGGTTTCCAAATTTATGTAGGTGACTTGAAATAAATGCAGTACACCACTGTATCATGGGTTCTTGACTTACTAGACGTGGAACTCTTTCAGAAATAGTAAGTACAATCTTTCAGTGTTTGCTGGGTAATATATTATTGTTATGCCAATTCCTTGTGAATACCAGCACCTGGTCTGTTATTAAATAAATTTAAGATAAAGGAGAGACAGGAGAAGTAATTAAAAACAAAAATTTCTTATCTCTTATGTTGTCCAACAGTTTCATGCTGCCTTTTTTGATTGTAAACTTCTGTGAGAAAGCATCCTAGTTTTGGATAAGAAAGCATCCTAGTTCTGGATAATGAGGTCAAGAACTTGGTATATGTGGGGTTTTTTTGTTTTGTGTTTGTTTTTTCTTGTTTGTTTTTTTCTCCGTATCCCTTAATGAGAAAGTTTGCATATGACTTTTTTCTTTCTTTAGAGAGAAGGTTTTAGATTTATGTAGTTACAGATAAATCACAGTGAGATGACATGTTCAATTTCAAGTCTGATACTTTGAGAATATTAAAATAAGTGCTGTATCCTGCATTTAAATGCAGTCATATCAGCTGGCTGTATGCAGTGAAAGTACTATGAAGGAATTTAGATCTCTGTATAATATATGCCATTTATGTTTCAAACATTAAAAGGCAGGAGCAATCAACTAGATGATCTTTTGAATAAAATATGTAGATTAGAAGGTCACTTAGCACTAAGGGGTTGACCATCTGCATTTGACAAGAATTTGACTCCTGTCACTGAAAATGGTACTTAGAATCAGGGTAGTATGACTAATGGGGGGTTGGGCTGAAATTTCTAATTTGGGACTTTCAAAGCTAGAATAATGTATCCAGGGTGACCCAAAACCAAATTTCTGAATTTGAAGGCATCATTTAAATCTGCAAGATTGATTGGCAGGGCGAACAAGAGGGGGATTTTTATCCAAGTGGCTGTAATGTGAATATGTGGTCCTGTATTTGTTGTTCTCAAAATCATGTGTGTTAACTCATATTACATTTTTTTAATTAATCAGTGTTCACACCTGTAGTGATTTGACATTAAGAATTCCATTCTTTAGAATTGTTACAAGTTATACAGTTTTCAGATTACTAGCCCGCTGTACAAGTGAATCCATCTAAAAAGGAGCAGTGTCTTTCTGTTTCTCTGCATGATTATTTTGCCAAAAAAAGCTTGCCTTTTTTTAAGTAGCACAAAAGCTGTAATTGGCATGCTTTGTAAGGAAGTGTCAATGTGCAAGAGAGTGGAGATCACTAAGAATTCTTTTACGCGTTCTTTCCCCTTTGCACCACCGCCTCCTCAGCAGGGTCACTGAGATCACTAGCTTTTCTTGAAATGGCCATTTTCACTGGCAGGTGCATTATACCCTGTATTTTCAGATTGTTTTTCCATTCTGAATGTTTGGCAGGTTGATTGCTCTGGCTGCATTGACGGAGAAAGGGCTGACAAATGCGGTTGGGCTGGCTGAAAAGACAGTGATTACTGTTTTCCTTTGTGGCTGATTGAGGCCCTTGAAAGGAAAGATTTTAACCTTCACCATTTGGTTCAAAAGTATGAGCATATATTGAAATCATTCATGCCATTTATCCTAGTTCTGTAAACTTGTCAGAACGTAAAAATCGCTCAATTTCAAGTAATGTAGGATTGGCATACGTCATTATCATTTTGATTAAGTTGGAGTTTGTATTATTGTGTGCATTATACAGTGTCATTTAAAGCTTTCTTTCCTGCAGGTACAGTTATATTTTTATTGCTTATACTATGGAGTTAGAAAGATTTTCAGACCTCTTTAAACCTATCACTATGTGTGTGGTTTGGCAGCTGGTATGGCCTACAAGCTGTATTTTGTTTGCAGGGTAAAGGCTTGTCTGTAGACCTCCTGGAGTGCTGGTAATTGCACAGGCTTGCCATTGGGGAAAGACATGATTGGAAGCAGTCAGGCAGAAAAATGTTGTGCCATCCCATTGCCACCTCATAGCAGAGAGACAATCCTAGCAGTACCATCTGGTTGTTGCTATCTAGTCAGCTGGCCTGGCTGCTGGGACCATGGCTTGGCAGCTGGTTCCCATCCCTTGACCACCCTTTTTTTTGTGTGTGCATGCATGTGGATTGTTTTTTTCTTTTTTTTTTTTGTTAGATAACTTTGAACATGGGTCAGGGAGATGGCTGCAACAAACAAGCCTAGTCCCTGTTGAATACTGTCTCATTACTTGTGATGAGGCATGCAGCAGACTCCTGCTGCCATTCCCTTATAGACAGATGACATAGCTGTTTAACCAATAAAAATAGTCTTTTCAGAAGCATATTCTAGAAGGTGGATGAAGAAAAGCCAGGAAATGCATATTCCACAACACTAAGTAATTTAAAGTTATTTTCTGGTTTACAGTATTCAAAGAATAAAATGTAGAAATGAAAAAAGTGCTGTAAACCTTGTCAGTATTCCTGAACATTAACTTTTTACGTTACTCATTGCAATTAGGGAAAACACATTTTGCTGTAAAGTTCTCATTGCCAAACATGATACAGGTAATGAGACCTGCATTTAGAATGACAGAAAAAATGTAATCTCCCTGCTATTATCTTTAGCAAAATTTGCCTCTCGGAATAGCAACCTGAAAGCTAATGTAAGCCATCTTCATGCCATGTGGAGACCCATTAGACTCTGATGGTTTCAGATCACAAGTAAGCAGCTGCTCTGTAGACTATTTTAGACATTTGATTTTTCTTTATTCTGCAGCATTAATGTGTCAGTATGTTACACAGAACATGCATCCACCACATGGTTTTGTGTGGAATCATAAATGCTTGTAAGAGATTTCCACTTTGGATTCTTTACAATTTCTTATGTGTCTTATTTCAGTTTATACAACTACATAATTTAGTGCAACTAAAATCCAGGTGTAGACACTGTTCCAATGATCATCTGGTTTGAGATAATGTTATCCTGGGGACTACATTTTACAAATATAACCATTTGAAGCTAAATGATACCATTTTGCATCAGCTTATTTGAGATTCATATGGAATATTACTGTTCCTCTTTAAAAATATAGACACTTACCATAATGTTTCTCCTTAGATGAGGAAGAAGAAGATGATGTGGTTGCACCAAAACCATTAGTTGAACCTGAGGAAGAAAAAACATTAAAAAAAGAGGAGGAGGAAGAAGGTACAGTTCACCAAGACTTCTGAGTGTGCTGTAAAGAAAGGCATCAATAAATTTTTAACTTCTTTTCTTTCCATTAAGTTGAAATTATTTTGATTTACATTTTAACAATCAGCTAGCAAAATATAAAATATAAAAATGTATTTAAAATCTATGGATGTTAGGAAACAAATTTTCCAACATCATGATAAATACTCTGGTTTTTTTTCTTGGAAAGAATTGGTGGAAGTATGCCATCCAGAGAATATATGTATAATTCTTTTCCAGCTGCCCCTCATGAACTTACAGAAGAGGAAAAACAACAAATTTTGCATTCTGAAGAATTTTTAAGTTTCTTTGACCACTCCACAAGGATTGTCGAAAGAGCCCTTTCTGAGCAAATCAACATTTTCTTTGACTACAGTGGAAGAGACTTAGAAGACAAAGAAGGGTAACATGAATGTTGTATACTTTACTGTGAATGTGCAATAGTTGTAATTGAAAAAGTGATCTAAGATTAATATCTGCTAATTGCCTTTATAGAGAGATTCAAGCAGGAGCAAAACTGTCCTTAAATAGGCAGTTTTTTGATGAACGTTGGTCAAAGCATCGTGTTGTCAGTTGTTTGGACTGGTCATCTCAGGTAAAAAATAATGCTTACATTAAGCAGTTACCTTTGTAAATTCTTCTAGTTCTATGCGCTTGACCCTTCTATAAGTACAACTGATACAGGCTATATTTCTAAATGCGTTCCTTACATGCTCCACAGTTTGCAAAAAGTAAACAGAGCTGTCTTTTGTGAAAAGTAGCCAAGTGTTTGTATTATGAAGAAAGTCTTTGGAATATTTGTTTCTGGTTTATGGACTACTTTGTAGAGGTAACAGTTTCACTAAAAAAAAAGCTCACTTAAAAGTACTGGGTTTTACATTTAAAAGCAAGTTATGATGAAAGACAGGACAAGTATGTTAATGCTGTTTTATGAGCTAAATTTGAAAGAATTACAGTTTTAACTGACAATTTCTCATTTATATATAACGTAACGTGGCTTTTGGTTTTTGGTGGTATTTTTTTTAACCCTATTTTGGTGAAAGGAAACAAAGATTCTATGATTATCTGGACCATTAGCTAGTCATCCTGCTTACTTTGAGTCTTTTTCACTTATTTTACAGTACCCAGAGTTACTTGTAGCCTCTTACAACAACAATGAGGATGCACCTCATGAGCCTGATGGGGTGGCCCTCGTATGGAATATGAAGTACAAGAAAACTACCCCAGAGTATGTCTTTCACTGCCAGGTACGATTCTGTCTCAGGAGGCTAAAGATTTTATGTTGATGAACTTGGACAAGTACCTTCCTCATGCTTGTCAACATGATGATTTCATTGGGCTGGCATTCACTTTAACCATATGTATTTGCAAACAGATGTTGATAGCTAGAGATTTCAGTTTAGAAACATTACTCTGTTTCAGAATTTCTGACATCATTCAGAATTCAGTCTTGTTTGAGAACTCATTTTCTTACTTTAATTTATTTAAAAACCAGAAAACCTTGTGTAATGGTTGAACCACAAAGAAGGTTTTTATGTAAAGGGATTGAGTGGGATTGTATACTACTAGAGTTTAGTTTACTGAATAAAATGAAGATGGCCTGAGGAGATGGAGCAAGGATGAAAACTAGAAACATATGCATCAAGAAAAAGGCAGATGGAGGTTTTCTAGTAGTTTTCTGAAAAATAAAAACATGCAAATCTCTTCCATTATGCCAAGCCTGGGATAGCCACTTTATTTTCAAAATGCCATAATTCTGAAAAATTACATAGTTGAATCAAAATTTAATCTCATGTTGTCAGATTACTGTCAAAGCCCAGATTGCAAAAGTAACTTTACTGTATCAAAACGGATTTGTACATTCTCTTAAGAAAATGACCACAGAATGTGGCAAAACATTATTAAAATCTTGTGCATTACTGGACCTTCCCTTGCTAACAGACTATTCTGGGAGGAATACAAATGTATACATATGAAAGAAAAGAGGGGAAAAACTTCATTTTATGAATACAAATTAAAAGACTGTTTGGGGGTTCACAAAGGATCTGTGAATCCCTAAGTAATTGGACAGTGAAATAGTGTATCGAATAAATCTAGGCAAAGAACTTGCTCTGGTATTTGGTCCCATTTTCTTTAGTTTTAGACATAGCATCGTTGAATGATAGTTTTTTGTGTATTTTGTTGCTTTTTTTTTTCCTTCCAGTCAGCAGTGATGTCAGCTACATTTGCAAAATTTCATCCCAACCTGGTGGTGGGTGGCACGTACTCAGGCCAAATAGTGCTATGGGATAATCGCAGCAATAAGAGAACCCCAGTGCAGAGAACTCCACTTTCGGCTGCTGCTCACACGGTAGGGGGTGAAATATCTTCAAGGACTGTTCCCTGTTGAGATGTATTTAACCTCTAGGAAACTCTGTCCAGTGCACTTGATTGATAATGCTTAAATGTTTATGTCCATATTTTGCCAATGCTATCACTGAAGAACCGGACTGTTCATAAAAATCAAAGTGTCAGAAAAACAAGTATCAGTTTTATAGGGGAGTATTCTTTGTACCATACTGTGATCAATCTTTAATGCTTTGTTAAATGGTGAGGTTGTATATTTGACTATATTCATTATACCAGAATTGCTTATTACTTGGAAATTCCTTTTTCTGATAGTATTTTACATTTCTTAGCACCCAGTGTACTGTGTAAATGTTGTTGGGACCCAGAATGCTCATAATTTGATTAGTATCTCAACTGATGGGAAAATATGCTCTTGGAGTCTGGACATGCTTTCCCAACCGCAGGTAAGATAACTTTGAATGTACATACAATATATTCATCTGGAATAGATACTAAAAACTTAATGAATCTAAAAAGCAGTAATAAACATTCTCCCAACACACAAAATTATACTTGAGGTAGCTTGATAAGTATTTGATAAAATATTTCCCCACTCGTGGAATCAAATATTGTCTGTTGATCCTTTTGTATATTTTTGCTGCACTTGTGTTAGTGGTGAACACAATTTTAACAAGAAATAACACTCTTATTCCTGCCCAATTCTGTACAAGTAAAATATAAAAGAAAAAAAAAAAACCCTACTATTGAAAAATCTAAATGACTTTGTAGATGTTACTTTAAAAAAAAAAAAAAATTAAGTTGTCGATATTTTCACTACAGGATAGCATGGAGCTGGTTCACAAACAGTCCAAGGCTGTGGCTGTTACTTGCATGTCCTTCCCTATTGGAGATGTCAACAATTTTGTTGTTGGCAGTGAAGAAGGCTCAGTGTACACTGCATGCCGTCATGGCAGGTAAATACAAACTTTAATTATTCAAAGGAAATAAAAATAGTGAAAGGATGAGTCCCTGCATGCTTTACACTCCTAAAATTATTTGTAGTGCATGTCTACTCCTTTGTCTTGAAGGAGTTCAAAACCGCTGTATATGAATTCTAGTGCGCACTTTTTCCTGAGTAAGAGCTTCATTAAAACCAGGAGAAGTTGGAATATTGAATTGGTACTATGCTGTCTTCAGTGACTAGGAGTTGTTTGTGTTGATGAGGGCAGCGTAGGTCACTGCGGTTTTATTCATTTGAATTGTAGCAGAACATTCCAAACTTTGTATCGGTTCCATAGATAATTGTACAGTAACATCACGCACAAATCTTAAATTGGCTAGCTTTTCTCCTGCTGTTCAATCTATTTTGAAATTGTCTGACTGTATCTTATCAATTGCTTTCTTAAATATAATTGAGTGTCCAGGTTTCATCTCAAATACACATCACCCTTGCTGCACAGCTTTTTCGTTCCAAAATACCCAAAATTGTATCACTTTTGTGTAACATCCTTCCCATCTCTTCCCCCCATCTTTTTCATCACTTCTGATAGGAGACTATTAGGGATATATTGTTACTGTTTTATATCTGAACTCTGTGCCATAAGGTACACGCAACTTCTCTTAAGTCAGTGGGAGGTTTATGCGCATTCCTGAGGATGGGATTTTGTTCTTTGCATGAATGGAAGTTTCGGATATTGCTTGGAGAACAATGTAGTTAAATGTGTGGACTGGTACCTGCTGAATGAGCCTCTTCTCCCTATGGTATATTTTGGCACCTAAGGTTAGCAGAAAATAAATGTTGAAGTTAAGGTCCATATTCAAGCCTGGTCTTCTGTGATCCTGTTGTGATGAAGCCTTTTGCGGTGGGGTAACATCCATACAAAGCAGCAAAATCTTCTTGTGGCTATACTTAAATTGCATTTCAGTGCTGTCTCTGTCTGCAGATGTATGGCTTCCAGGTAAATTAACCTTGATTATATATTCTAAAACAGCAAAGCTGGAATCAGTGAGATGTTTGAAGGACACCAGGGACCAATCACAGGTATCAACTGCCATGCAGCAGTTGGACCTGTAGACTTCTCACATCTTTTTGTCACCTCTTCTTTTGACTGGACAGTAAAGCTTTGGACAACTAAGGTAACTTAAATAGATAGTTCAGTGGTTTTCTTCGTAGTCCTTGACACAAGGTGGTGCTATAGCGTAAACTACTTAAGAAACTTCAGTTTACTGAAGTCAAATCGTGAAGTTCTCTAGTTCCTAGCAACAGTCCTGCAAAGAGGAGACAGCTGATGAACAAAACTGTAGTTAACAACATAAAGCTTTGCTTCCAGATTGTACATCATTTGTATACTTCTGATCCATTCTGTTCATCCTTTTGCTCTTTGTTATCAACAACGATTACAATGTAATCAAATGTAAATCATGTTGTAAAATCAGTTACTTCATATTCTGCATAAGGCAAATGTTTTGCTACAATTTTGTGGAGGACTAAGGGACAGCACCAAAACTGATGTCGGTTAAACTCCACGAGGTTCACAATTGAAATATTTATCACGCCCATTGCCAGAATTACCTCTTTCTCTGTTAGTTTGATGCCCTGAGAAATGCAAAGCAGAGGAAGCAGAGTAAGAATCTCCCAGTAATAATCTGAAGTGCTGTCACTGAATTATCATTGGCTTGATTTACAAGATTCTTAATGCATTAAATTTACAATCTCTTACAATATTGGCTTGCTATTGATTGTTTTATAGTAGCAGCCAGCAAAAAGGCTGCATGCTTTGGAAAGCATCCCTTTAATAATAGCATTAATTTTTGGCTGCTTTTTGCAGAGGCAGTTTTTAAAGTAAGTCAGAATGTGAATCACTTTTTAGTTATTGCCGATAATGCTGTTGAGAAGTTCTGTATTTTGCTTTACCCGTTAGCTTTATAATTTTGAAGTGCAGAGTTTGGGTATTGCATTGTTATGTTTGCTTTTTTCAGAATAACAAACCTCTCTACTCCTTTGAAGACAACTCCGATTATGTTTATGATGTGATGTGGTCTCCAACTCACCCTGCCTTGTTTGCCTGTGTGGATGGGATGGGCAGGCTTGACCTGTGGAATCTCAACAATGATACTGAGGTGAGGCAGTCAGGTTAATAGCCAAATGTAGCTGGAAGAGTGTTTGTACACTTGGAAAAAAAAATGTCAGGAGTTTACCATAGCGTTTTGGTTTTTTGTTGTTAAATATTCTGTAATTCCAGTGGTTTCTGTGTAATAGATATCATTCTTTGATTACGGGGTTGTAACTCAAATGACTCCTCATAATGAATAACAGCAGTAATTAAATTGTTTTACCTGTAACAAGAGTGCAAAACGTCTGTTGGTGTAACACTGATCCATGTTGTGAAAGTGATTATAGACCTCCCCCAATATGGCCTTGGCAGCCTATAGCTTAACAGTGTGAACAAACCTGGTACCCACACACCACCATTGTTCCTATCGTTACTATTGCCATAGTAATACTGCAGTGAAATTGTACTTTGTTTCTAAACTTAGAGAATTGAATGTTTGGGTTTTCTGGTGTGAGTTATAAACTTAATTATAGTATAAATCTTTTCCGAGACTTAAACTTGTTGGAGATAGGTGAGAGGAAAAACCTGACAGATACTCAGTACTTAAATTTCACCACCTTA